TGAGCATCTCCTTGTCCACCATGTCGGTGACGAATATGGCCGGTAATGCTTGAAAGCCCTGGATAAGACTCCAGTGACAGTTCGTTGTCGAGTTCGTGACTGTGATGTGAACCTTCCTCCCTTTCATGGGAAGAGTCACCGTGGTAATGAGGACTGTGTGATCCGAACTCGGCAACTTGATGGAATGCTTCTTCGTGAGAGTGAGGACCACCGAGTATATGCGGTGACAGCACCTACAATGGAAAACTTCTTTGTACATTTCTTGCGAGACTGTGTGCCTACCTCAATAACCATTTTTTCCGGACTTTTGTAACGGGGAGACAAGACGTGCGGACTGAGAACAAGTACTGATCCAACCTCGGCAGATCCCACATAAGGAGATAGGATTCCTCAAAATACATTGGAGTGGCAAATAGTTGTGAAAACCTCACTGACCTGGGCTAAGAACTTCCACAATTAAAGCCATGGGCGAAAGCACTCTTGGATCAAGCATTCGGGGAGATAATATTTCCACCAACTAAAGGAACTTATGCACTTTACAGGGAGAAATAGCACTTATAGGCTGTTTCAATGTTAGTGTCACATCTCTAGCGGCTTGGGCTCGCACAACTGCCTCACATGGCCTATCGCCGCGTTCGTGGACGTATGCGACATTTCCCCGCGTCAGCCTTCACTCGCTGCTGTGGCATGAAAAATGCCCAAAGGGATGCGTCCGCAATCACGGATGACCCAGGCGAGGCTGCTGCGAAGCGCCGAGTCGCTAAATCTAATCTATGACACTGTCGGTGAGACAGCCGACTATCTAGTCGCATATATAGTAATGAATGGAATGCAAGAAAATGTCTTACAAGAGCTTCTGGACTGAGTACCCATGCATGCAATGCTCGAGGCGAGAGTATCTCTAGACGTAGAGCAGTAGGAGAAAGTATCCGCGCTATCAGAGCGTTAGGCGATAGAACTGCTCCAATGAAAGCACGTGGCGTCAAAGTTTCTTGCTATAACAAACTGACGCATGGCAATAATCTTTCTAAACTTAAAAATCTTACCCTAAATGCTCTTGGAAACAATATCTCTGGAATGAAAGCATGCGGAGATAATGTGACAACTTCTAGTGCTGCACCAGTACCAATTTCTGGTTCAAAAGCGTAGGGTTCCAACGTTTGGAAAAGTATACCATTGATTCGTACTCCTCTTTCTTCTAGCTCTTGTTCACTTTCACCGGGTATAGGCGGATCACCTACTGGTGGCCCTGATGCTTGACGTCGGGTACGGACTGAAATGCCAATTTCAATATCCAATCAAATTAGACAGTTTACCGGAAGTTCCGCCAGACATTCACGAAATGAATCTTCCACACCCCTTTGTGGAAAAGGCTGCGGAAGTTTCTGTTAAACAATTTGGCGTCGAATATCTGCGAAAGTTCCCATCTCCAACGCTTAAACTTCTGTAATAATAGAAAAATTCTGTCGAACCACTGCAAATCGTTCTTGTATTGTGGAATTTTCCGTGATTTGTCTGATGGAAAAAGTATTACTAATCGGGTTTACCTGGGCCCCAGCTGGGCACCGGTTTTTGAGGCTGAGGTCGGTCCAAAGTCGCTAATTTGCGGATATCGTGTTCAATTCGTTTCATTTTCTCTTCTTTTGTCATCCGACTTAGTTCAGTGACATTGATGCCATAAAGCTTCTGTTCTCAAAAAAATTCGAACCCACTTCCGAGGGCCATATGTGAAAACAAAAGGTTCTCTAATTTACCTTTTGAGTCGTAGATCAACTTCAATTGGTCCTCGTTCATAAATGCAAAGCCATTTCGCTTGTACTCCTGTCTTTGCTCCTCTGTGAATTTAGCATGTGCCCTTGAAATGCCCTATTAGTGACGAATTTGAAAAAAGAGAACATTTTTGAGGACCCTCGAGCTTCAGAAGAGACTGCCATCCAAAATCGCAAGATTTTTGCAAGTGCTCCATACGATTTGCAATAGCGTGGAGGAGGTAGCTATTGTGCAAATGTGACTTAAAGGCAGTGTCCGGGCAAAAACTCGATTTCGAGAT